ACCACACCCACCCACCCAGCTACCTTCCACTTGCTTCCAGTGCCCCTGGACAACCGAGGCTGCATCTTATCCATCTTGGAGACTAAGACAGAGAGGCCATGCAGTGTGCTGGTTAGACGTGCAGGCTCTGGTTAAGTTCAGACCCATCACTTCTGGCCGTGTAACCTCGGCGACCTCTGTCTGCTCTGAGCTTGTTTCCTCCTGCATAAAAGGGGATAGTAATAGAACCTATTTCATAGAGATGCGAATATTTCGTTAATGATATAACACACATGAAGCACCTAGAACTGTTCCTGGCACACGGAAAGTGCTAAACAAGGGTCGGCTATCACTGTATCTATGTCCCCAGCACCCGATCCAGTGGTGCTAAGCAACTCGTTTTGCATCTGTGAATGAGCTGAGTATTTATCCTTCTTGTTCTCCGGATAGCCAGAGAGGTCTTCTCCAAATTCTCTCCCAAAGGTAAGATGCTGAAACACGCGCGGGCCACCAAGGATGGTCACACCAGGTCTGAGATACTCATTGTTTATAATCTCACTGAGTAAATAAACAGTGTGAGATGGGAAGGCAGGCCAGGGCTTCCAGAAATACTCTGTCCCTGGCTCCAGCCTGGACACAGAGACGCAGTGACCCTGTGATCCTCGCCAGTTGACTCATCTCCCCAAACATGAGCTGAGCCGTCGGCCTCGCTGGCTCCTTCAGATGGTCTGGCAAGCCCAGCAGGAGCCAGTCTAAAGCAGCTGGCTCCAGCAAGAAGGAAAAGCAGGTGCAAATCTGTGATTACTGCCAAAGAGGGCAATCAGAGCAGAAAAGCTCTGGCTAGGGGGGTTTGGGGACAAAAGGCCAGTGCGAAATGATGTAGCCATTGGTGGGTGGCACTGAGGGGCAGGTAGCTGTAAGGTGGGCATTGCTGTGCTGGGAGGCAGAGGTCTACAGGGTTCCTGGGTGCAGGCTAGGGAAGAATCTGGAAGGTACCTCCATCACCTCCCAGGATCAGGGAGCCATGGGGAGAGCTCCCAGAGACTGGTCCAGCCTCATGGTCAAAACTGGTCAGGGTAGAAAGATGGCGACATCGAGAAAAGTCTCCAATTGTCTAGTGCCCTTCCTAAAAACCTAGATCACTTTAGAAAATTACTACTATGTTTTTAATTTTGAAAATACAACTTCCATGCCAATGACATCACTTATAATCTTGAATGACAGAACTGGGCACTTAGAGATAACACAGTTCAACCACTCTGAAGTATAGGCCAGAGGATGTGACTCCATCCAACCACTCTGCAGGATTTACTGAGCACCTACTGCAGTGCAGGCACTGATCGAGGTGCTGGGACCTGCAGAGAACATGACAAACTAGGGCCCCATTCTCATGGAACTTACACTTTGGGGAGGAAACAGACAATATATGATAAGAGACTAGAGAAAGATACACGGAGAAAGGATAAAAATTAAGAAGAAAGCGAACTGCTTTGTGATAGTGATGGACAGGACTGCCAGGTGATTATGAAGCTCTCTCAGAGGTGACAGTCGAGCTGAGGCCTGAAGCAGAAGCCATGACAAGGGCAGAGCAAGAGCTCTGCCTGCAAGTGCAAAGGCCCTGAGGCACAGGTTCATTTATGGAGGTCCAGGAAAAGGGAAACATAGATGTGACTGACGCGAGTAAGCCCTGCTAACATTTATTGGGCTCTGCTCTTTGTGCCAGGCACCATTTTAAGCATTTTACTGGTAGCTTATTAAATGCTCATAAGGACCCCTGAAGGTAGGGTTCCATTATTAACTCCATTTACAGCTGTGGAAACTGAGGCCAGAGAGGTTAACCCGCCCAAAGTTACCCACTGAAGACCCACCAGGCAGAATTCCCTTCCTGGCATTCCAAATCCAGGCAAGAGCTAGGGGACACAGACCCGGTGGGCCTCAGAAAGGAGTTGGGATTTCGTTCAAATACAATGGGAAGTGATCAGTCACAACATACGTCAGTGGCCAGTTCAGTGATTACTGAGCACCTAGTGTGTACCAGGAACCAAACCCCTTCCTGCGCCCAGGCAGTCTGCAGAGATCCTGGGGTCGCAGGTAACAAACACTAGGCATGCGCCCTCTCTGGCGACCGTCCCTTCCCGACCCGCCCCTCAGGCCTGCCCCATCCGCTCCCTTCTCACCAGGGTCGGAACTGGCGCTCTGGTCTCGGCCCCTCGGACCCCAGCGCGCAGAGCGCAGCCACCCCGCGCCGCTGGCAAACCCGGCTGTCAGACCTGCCTCTCGCTCGGAGGCGCCGCCTCCTCCGGAAGCCCTCCCGGGCGTTT